CTGCAGTTTATCCACCTGGATCCCCCTATCTCTCCTCCTTTCCCCCCTCCTCCGAAGAAACCAAGCTCATCCTGCTCACTGTCTTAGCTCTATGGGTCCCTCTGTCGGTGACACAGTGCCTGGGGCTGACTCATTTCCTCAACCTCATTTTCTCAGCTTCCAATGTTACACCCCAATATAACGCAGCACCCCTGGTCCTGGACGTTCTTGCCTCCATGACCCCCTTTCCTTATTTGATTCCCTCCAGAGCCCAATTCACATCTGTATTCTATACTTTATCTGCCCTGAAAGCTGTATCACATATAGGGGTTCCACCTGTCTCACACATGGCCATAGTCCCTGCAGCTAGGACAAACCTGAGCACAGAGCCAGCATTCCACACTGATCTGTTGAATGTAAGCTAAAATCTATTTCCTCTGATGGGGCATTGGGGCAGAAGAGGGACCAGAAGTGGTAAAGAGTCTTAGCTCTTAATCTGCTTTTGAACCTAAACTGTGTGACACTGACACAAAACACGTGAGACCCTAACAAGTTCAGTCCTTGACACTGGAAGCAACAGTGCAGGGAACAGGACATTTTTCCAGAGCTCACAACGGAACTGCACAAGAGAGTTTGGGCAAGTTCACTTGCTGGTCCATCACCGTCGCTATGTTACAAAGTGACTCAGCCCGGGCAGCTGAGGTCAATGGTCACAGAACAGGAAGAAGCACCGGTTTACTCTGATCAGTGTAACATGCGATGAGTGTCAATGGTGTGCCCAGATGTGACTGGACATGGGCTACAGAGTTGGCTCCTAGCCAGTCCTCTCTCTCAGCTCAACTCACTACAGGTAGATGATGTCAGAATGGGTGGAAGGGAGGGATTCTGTGCTGACATCAGAGAACAGGTTGGCTGGTGTGGAATGCCCTCCCCAACCTACCCACACATACACAATGCAATGGAACTGGGGACAAGGGCCCTTTAGGTAACGAGACCTACAAGGCATCCGGAAAGCTAAGACAGAGGCTTCTAACAAGAAGCAAAGGAGCACAACTGAAAAACAATTTGTGGTGTTTTCCAAAATCAACTAGGTGCATGCGATCAGTCTATTCTCATCAAGAGTCTAGAACCTGAGGATACCATTTCACGGGCCTCACCCCAGCCCTTGCCTAACATCTGGAATATTTCCAAATGAGTCCATCCCCAGCATTGGTTATTAAAGAAAAATACTCTTCCACTACCAAACTTTCCCATCAAATTGGTGAAGAGTGTCCTCCACTTGGCTCAGTGACTAAGCCTCGGTGAGACCAAGCCGGACGGGTGACCAGTACAGCAGAATCTCGCACACACCTGCTTGATCACCAAGGCCACCCAGGCTGCCTCTTCTTTCATCCTGCTGAAGAGCCTGTGAACCTGAACACAAATGTCCTTCCATTCCAAGCTCAGCTTCAAGCATGAGCAGGGCCCAGGCTGCTTACAGGAGAGCCCGCCAAAGAAGCATGGCCATCACAATGTAGCCCCTCAGGAACTTCTCCAATGGGAGCCTGTGGCTTGCATGGAAAGGACTTTTTGTGGGTGGGAAAATGCTCCATTCCATACCCATACCCGCATCCTGGGGGACACCTGGAAGAAGCCAGCAAGAGTTCCTGACCCTGCTCATCTGTTGTCAAATGCAGATGCCACCCTATCTGCAGGCTAGGCTACCTGCCAGGCTTGGACAGTGAAGGGAGCCATGGAGAGTTGTGTCCAGCTCAAGGGCTGTTCAGACTAAAGGCAGGAGCTGCAGGGGAGAGATGTGGCCTCACTCCTAGGCCCAGTCTCTGGGGTGCTGTTCTTTTCACTAGGTCCTTCCTAAGTTGAGTTCTAACTCTAGAGTAAGGAGCTGTCCTCCCTGAGGGATGTGGGGGGAGTCCCTGGGTGACTTCACGCCACTGTGCTAGTGGCCCCTGACAGCATCTGGCTTCGTCTCACTAGAGAGGAGTAGGCATTAGCAACAGAAGGAGGGGAAGTGAGAAGCAATTCTTCTGCCCAGGTCAGCCCATTACTGGAACTACCTCCACAATTTTCTGATTTTGTGAGCACTGACATTCTCGACTTTAAAATTACCCTATGAGAGTTCACAGTCTCTTTCTGCATAGTTCACATGAACTTGGGCTAACAATAACCCTCCCACACCCACACAAAGTTCTAATAATTTGATCTTGTACATTTCGGAAGTGACCATTCTAATTCTGGAATTGGCAAAAGTCAATCAACAAATTAAATCGGAGGGCTCTGCGTGCAGAACAGCCACACTTACTGGCATCTTTTCTATGGCTGTTCATTCTACAAAAGGAGGGAGTTTATCTTGCTGTTCTGTTGGCAGGTTGGCAGGTTGGTTTGGGGTCCATACCTGGCAGTGCTCAGGGGCTACTCCTGGCTGGGTGCTCAGGACCCAACAGTTCCCAGGGGACCACAAGGTACCAGGGATCCAGCGTGATCTCCCACCTGCAAAGCATGTGCTCCAACCCTCTGAGCTATCTCCCCAATCCAAACAGAGTTTTGTAGTTGGAACGAAGCACTGCAGCACTGTCCGCCCGTTGTTTATCGATTTGCTCGAGTGGGCACCAGTAACGTCTCCATTGTGAGACTTGTTACTGTTTTTAGCTTAGCAAGTGCAACAAACATGGCCCATAAAACATAAAATACTGTCTTTCCCTTTATGGGAAGTTTGCCATGCCATGCCTTACACCTACCTGCTTCAGGAGGCAGAAAGGGGCAGGGAAAGAGCGAGGAGGGGCTCCAAATAAATAAACAAGCAAAGCATAAATGAGAAGAGGAGACAGTTCAAGCCTGTGTCTAAGTCCATGCAGACAAATAAACCATCTTTTCTTCAAAACTGGGAAACTATTATGTGTTTGTTTGCTTGCTTGTTTGTTTTAGGAGACACATCTGGTTCTGTACGTAAGGACAACTCCAGACAGTGCTCAGGGCACCATATCATGGCTCAAACAAGGGCCCACCAAGTATAAGGCAAGCACCTTAGCCCCTGGGCTATCTCTCCAGCTGCAAACTATTACTTTTTAGTAAGAAATCCTAACAAATTCATATTTACAAAAATTCATTTTTGTGGGCTGGAGCGATAGCACAGCGGGTAGGGCGTCTGCCTTGCACGCGGCCAACATGGCCGACCCAAGTTCGATTCCTCCGCCCCTCTCGGAGAGCCTGGCAAGCTACCGAGAGTATTCGATATGCCAGACACAGTAACAACAAAGTCTCCAATGGAGACGTTACTGGGCCCGCTCGAGCAAATCGACGATCAACGGGAGGGCATCATTTTTGTAAATTGAAAAAAAAAAACCTCCTCTAAAAGCTACTTTTAGATTTATCATCAGTGGGAAAAGCACATTTTCCCACATGCCCATGAGTCTATTATGCTAAACTAATTTTCCACAGACGTAACAAAACATTGACTTAAAGCTGAGTTCAAAAGCAAACAATCCTTGGTCCCAAGGCAATTTTCTGAAAATAGAATTAGTTTGAAAAGTGGGGTCTGAAGAATATTAATTTACGCTAAAGTGAATCTTCCGACTGACACTAAAAGTTATAACAACTATACTTTCATTCCTGACCGTGTTATAATACAACTACATAATCCTTATATGAAATTTTTTTCTCTACTAATTTAAATACACACCCTGTATGTAACACTAAGCTAACTATAACTAAAGTGAAAAATGCTCAAGGACTGATACCCAAGGACAGTAAAAACAAGAGCCAGGAGGACTGGTTCACAGTTGGAAGCTTGCCAGACTGGCAGGGGTGGGGGTGGAGGGAAGAGCAGCTAGAATAGAACAGAGAAGGGACCACTATGACAAGGATAGTTGGAAATGATCACTCTGAACAAGAACTGAGTGCTGAAAGTAGGTAAAGGGACAAACGACAAACATGATAAGCTTTCAGTACCCATACTGCAAACCATAATGGGGGGGGGGGAGAGAGAGAGAGAGAAAAGTGCCTGCCATAGATGCACGCTGGGGAGAGGGAGGTAGAAGAGAAACCGGGGACACTGGTGGTGGGAAATGTACACTGGTGAAAGGAAGGGTGATGGAGCACTATGTGACTGAAACCCAACCATGAGCAACTTTTGACTGTGTATCTCATGGTAAGTCCATTAAATAAATAAATAAATAAATAAACACCTTGAGGGGAAAACACTCAAAGAGAAGCAGAATCAAAATTCAACATATTTTTTAAAAAAATTGTAGTTATATTTTAAATTAATTTATATTTTTACTTTTTGAGTGACAACTGGCAATGCACAGGGGTTACTTCTGGTTCTGCACTCAGGAATTACTCCTGGCGGTGCTCGGGGGACCATATGGGATGCTGGGAATTGAACCCGGTTCGCCGCGTGCAAGGCAAATGCCCTACCCGCTGTGCTATCGCTCCGGCCCCTCAACGTATGTTTTTAAGTGGAAATGGAGTTACTCAATGAGATCAAGGGCGAGGATGCTTTACTTCCCAGCCCCTGAGATCCCATTCCAGGGGACAGAATAACTTCCAGAGTTTGGGTGCAATAGGGAAAAATCTGTACATGGGTAGGGTGACATCTCCCCTGTGCAGATGGTAATTGATGAAGTAAGTGGGGCAAAAGCAGGGACAACAAGGAAGACTTTGAGAACATGGGGCTTGGAGTAAGAGAGAAAGTCAAGGAATGGTGAACTAGTCCCTCAATGACAGGCTCCCCAAGAAGTTCTACCCCTGGAACACAATCCAGATCAGCAGGCCCGTGAACAGAGAGTCTTTCCACACCTGGCCTCCGCTCTTCATCGACAATGAATCCACATGTTCCTAGTCCCCAGGGTAAACTTTGGGTGTTTCTGTGTCATCATTTCAAACCAGGCTTCAGAAAAGGTCTGGGCAGAAAAAGAACTGGCCATCCTTGGAAGGCCTCATGCTCCCCCGAGCACCTTCTTCCCAGCCCAGTCAGACCTGAGCAAAGCCAGAGCAGACAAACCGGCCGCCACCAAGACACAGACCTCCTGTCGGACGACATTGGCAGTTCTCTCCAAGTGGTCGCTTTTCCTTTGGGATCTCATTACGCTTCAATAGAAAATAAAAGTGGGTTACTACCCTCATGCAAAATTACTCGCTTTCCCCTGTAACACCACGGCTAGCCAAAATATAATCCAATTTGGTCTGCTAGAACAAAACAGAAACAACCAAATAGACTATGGTATATGGACCCCAGAAAATGGTCAAACTGAACAGCCTCAAAATGTAAGTCGAATGACCTATGCATGGCACACACATTTCCACAGGGTGTTGTGTTGGCCTTCAGGCATCTGGTGTGCCTCCCCCAACCCCGGGCCGGCCCGCCTGGGCAAATCAGCCTCAAAGGACAGTGAGAGAACTCACCAGGACAGAGAAAGGCAGCGCAGAACACGGGGTGTCAGTCCCAGCGGAGCAGCCTGAAAACAGACGGTTCCAGAAGAGCCTCGCAACAAGCCAGGAATCAGGACAGCAGCACAGGCCATGGTGCTTCCTGGGCAAACACAGACCTGAGAGTTAAAAACTGGTCTGAGGAAAAGTTGAGAAATTAGGGGGCTATTTTAGGGGGTCACTGGAGATTGGGCTAGGATTTTTGTTGGTGGTATTCTAGAGCTAATACAAAGCACTAAAGAGTGTAACTTGACCTTAATAACATTTCTGCCACTAAGTAGAGCCGATTCAACCCAGTTCCACAGTACAAACATACAGGATTGTTGATGCTATCACATCTCCATGTTCTCAGTTAGTTCCGGAATCTCTGACCAAGCTCACAGGACTAATCTGCTGCTTTGACAGAAGAGGAAAAAAGATTTGTTTGTTTGTGGGTCACACCCAGTGGTACTCAGGGCTTACTCCTGGCTCTGGGCTCAGAGTTCACTTGTGGCAGGGCTTGGGGGAACCATCTGGGGTGCTGGGGACTGAACCCAGGTCCAAGTGCCCTACCCACTGTACTATCACTGAGGCCTAAAGGAGAGAAGATTTTAGAACTGTCTGATTATATATATTTCAAAAAGTTCCACATACAGCTTCAGTATTTCTTACTGGGCAATGCGCAAATTTTCCCAAACATAAAATGTTTAAGACTCAGTTATTAAGAACCAACACAGATAAGTAACAGTTTCTTAAGAACCTAGAAACTCTCAAAATAGCCACAACCAGAGCAAATGTATGATGATTTTACTTTTACATACTGGGATCATTATTAGTAGTATCATTACTATTATACTAGTATTATTGTTAGTATAATAGTTATAATAATAATGCAAACAAACAAGCTGCAACTATAAGCAATCACAGAAATGAGTATCACAAACATCAGTATGTGTTCAAAAGAACACATATTATATGATCAAAGTCATAAAAGGCACAATCAGAAAAATTCATCTGTGGAAGCAAAAAAAAAAAAAAATCAAGTGACCAGGTAGCAGTGGGGAAGTGGAAGAAAAGATGATATTTCTTGATCTGAGGGCTGATTTGTGAGAGCCATTTTGCAAAAACTTATCAAGTCACAGGAGCTTTTTAAGGTCAGTAAAACTTTCCCAGTAAAAATCTGGGATATCATACTGTAGTAGTGAATTTGTTTCATCAGGCTCTTGTCCAAAGCCACATGACAGACACACTCTGGCTGAGCAATTAAACAGACTATGCATGCCGAGGAACCGGGATGTGTCATTACCAGCTCACCATCAATAACAAGTGCCCCACTGTGCTGGGCTGTTGATAATAGGAAGCGGGAGAGGGGACTTACTTGAAATGCAGCAGATCCAGTTGGATTCCGGGTACTGCATAGGGTCCCTTAAGCCCTGCCAGGTGTGACCTCTGAGCACAGAGCCATGAGTAAACACTGAGTACCGCCAGATGTGGTTTTTTAAAAAAAAGAATTCTTTTTTTAATTCTCAAAATATTAATCAATATTTTTAAAAAAGCAGTCAAAATTAATTTTTTACAATGTCCTGCAAGGAATTTTGTAATTCTCTGTTTGTGTGCTATACTTCAATAAGAAAACAAAATCCATGTCTGCCCGGAGGGGAAAGGGTGTTGCTCCCTTCCGCCCTCCCCCCTCTGGAAAGAAAGATGGCAGCCGCATGGGAGCCTTGTGGAGAGCCAGGTATGAGCCGGTGGTGATGGGGTGACTAAAACCTCATGGGAAGGGGGGTGTTCCGGCCCGTCCTTCACGTCATACCGAGGTCACCAGTTGCCCCCCACGAGTGGCTCTCCGGCACAGCCATGGCCCCAGAAGCACAAGGACTTAATGCAGAACCCAGCAGCTTGGAGCAGAAAAGTGAAAGGACTATGTGTTAATCCACGCCACCATGTCTGCCCAGAGGGGAAAGGGTGTTGCTCCCTTCCGCCCTCCCCCCTCTGGAAAGAAAGATGGCAGCCGCATGGGAGCCTTGTGGAGAGCCAGGTATGAGCCGGTGGTGATGGGGCGACTAAAACCTCATGGGAAGGGGGGTGTTCCGGCCCGTCCTTCATGCCCTACTGAGGTCACCAGTTGCCCCAGACGAGCGGCTCTCCGGCACGGCCATGACTCCAGAGCACAGAAACCAATTTCTTAATTATCTGACTCTCAGTAGAAATACTTCCAGGGTTAATAAGTAAAATAGCAGGAATCCAAAACGGCACGGCCCCGCAACATCATTTAATTCTTGAACCCAGCTGTAGAAAGCAAATTATTTCACAATGCTTTTTCAGCATGTCTGATTTTGGCGGGGGGGGGGGGGGGGGTAAACTCTAAATAATAATGGTGCATCTTTTATCAAAACAATGAATCTAATCAAAGTAGATAGAGTGTTAACTAGAATTCATCTGCCTCACAGGCATTGGGAGGAGTGGGGGGTGGGGGTTTATTGGGGTTCTTCGTGGTGAAAAATAAGTATTGGTAAAGGGAAATGTGTTTGATATTTGCATGACCGAGACCTAAACCTGAAAGCTTTGTAACTTTTCCCACAGTGATTCAATAAATAAATAATTTATAAAAAAAGAAAACAAAATCAAGAGCAAAAAAAAAAAAAACCCAGAAAGATCCCCTATGTTACAAATTCTGAAAGCTGCTATCCTATCAGCAAATGTGACTAAGTGGCTTCCTATCATTTCATTTTTTTAAAAATTTTTTTTTTATTAGTGAAACACCATGAGGTACCTATCATTTCATTTTCCTCCACCAATTTTTAAGTATGTCTCTGCCTAAAATCATCACTTTTAACACATGCAGAGCTCAATTTTTAAGTATGTCTCTGCCTAAAATCATCACTTTTAACACATGCAGAGCTGACCTTTTACTGTTGTTGTTACCTCGGGAATACCAAAAATTTATGTATGGCCTTTTTTTTTTTCCCTGAGCTGTTTGGAACGACTATTAAAAAAATATCAGTCATGATAAATTCAGTGTTAGACAAATATTTTAGTTCATCGTGCCTACAGTCCTACAACTTCATCAATTTAGTGGCAAGGGCGGGGGATTCAGACAAGAACAAAACAAAAACACCTTGGGGAGCTTTTCTTTGTAGATGGCAGACAGAAATGAAACGAAATTAAATAAATCAGGTGGTGATGGGGGCACAGTCAATCCATTCCGATACAAGCAAATCATATCACAAAGCTGCTGCTTCAGACCTCGGCTTTAGGTGGAAGATTTACTCCTTGCCAGGGTGTGGTCAACGCAGTGTCACTGTAGAGAGACATGCTGCTGGCTCTTTTCTCTCTAGTGATTGGGAAAAGCACATGGCTCACTCACTCCATGTGAGAGTAAGGACCAGTTTGCTCCATTAAACGTGCTGTCCCAAAAGTGGTGTGCCGGTGGTCGAAAGAAGGGTGGAACTTACTTTAGAAGCCCGCGAGATTCACGGAGTCATTAGGGTGTGACTGACTGAAAAGCAATGTGTGTGTCCTGGCGTTGGAGAGAGGCCTTGGGATACACACGGAGTGGAACATGGACGGGGCTTCCGTGTAGGGCAAGTCTCACAAAAGCTCCTGCGAAGGCAGAGATGACATGTAAGAGCCATGTTCCAGCCAAGTGTTCTCTCCACAGAAACCCCACTCTCCGCTGCAAAAGGAAGAGGTCCCTGGCTCGAGAGATGGGGCAGCAGGCAAGGTGCTTGCCTAGCACACAGTGGGTCTGGGTTCGATCCTGGGCACCCCACAGGGTCCACTGAGCTCCGCCAGGCATAATCCCTGAGCACAGAATGAGGAGTGAACCCTGAACACTGCGAGGTGTGCCCCTGTATACCCCAATTTTTTTAATAAAAAAAAATGGCCTGCTACAGAAGATCAGGTACCACCTCCAGTGGCCTCTCAATTATGCACCTTCTATCAGCTTTTCCTCCCATTCCGCTTTACCATTTTTCTTACTGTTTTTCACTCTCCTTGTCCCACCTATGACTTCTGCTCCTTAGAAATACCATCCCCCTAAGCACCAGGCTGGAATCACTCCAAGAAGGATCACTGAAGGTCAAGTTTCCTAAAAAAAGTGGGACAGATACATATTCCATCATGAAAACACTGTTCCACTTGATGTTTCACCCAACTTCTGCTAAAACAAATGGTCCTCACGCAAGAAATATCTTTTAGAGATTGTGCTGCCTGAGTGCTCTGGTCTGTTGCTCAACTGAACTGGAAAACAAATGCTAATTTGTAAAGGCTGTTGGCTTAAAAACTGTAAATCCTAGAAAAGTATCCATGACCAAGAGTGCCATCTACTGGTAAATAAGGGACACTTTCGGCAAATTGTGCTCTTCCTACCTTCCAAAGTAATCACTGTCACTGTCACTGTCCTCCCTTGTTCATCGATTTGCTTGAGCGGACCTAGTAACACAACACAACTTCCACAAGATAGGAAGATGAAGTACAGAGCACACTGTGGACACCATATAAAGATGAATACTTGCATTTAAAAAAAATCTCCAAGAGCACACATGTGCTGAAATAAAGGAGATTCTCTGAACAATCAGGACCCTGGTTGATGGAGAATTCTAGGTGCCCTGAGGAAGCACAGGCTGCTAGCAGTTCCCACAGGTCAGGGAACCCAATGATGCATATTACTACACAGCGCAAAGCCTAGAAGAGGGTGATGCACTCTCTGTTGAAAACATCTTTTGTGTGTTCTGGGCTTGGCCTCCTCCCACCCTTTTGAAAACAAGAAAGTAGACATGACCCCACTGGATGTGAAGAAGGAGGTCTCCAGAAGTACCTGGCAGGCGAGAGTAGTAATAAAGCCAATCCAAACACATTCACCTCTTCTCCTCCCTGCCCACAAGCGAAAGTTCTATGCTAAAATTGCTCGGTTTGGGACTGGGCCTCCTCCACTCAGATCCCCCATCTTCCAGTAGCTAGATAGTTACACCCACCTACTGCCGTGTAACCCCATCAATGGCCAAGATCCAGAGACTATAAAACCAAGCTCCCAGAAGCTTATTGTCTAGTTCTTAGACAACAAGGCCTCTTATTGTCTAGTTCTCACTCTAAGAGAACCCAGCAGGCTACTGAGAGTCTCCTGCCCACATATATGCCTGACTGGGAACACCTGTAAAGGTGATTAGAGGCTGCTCCAAAAGCCTCCATCCCTCACGGAGAGCATGGCAAGCTACCAAGAGTATCCCACCCACAGAGCAGAGCCTGGCAAGCTACCCATGGCGTACTTGATATGCCAAAAACAGTAACAATGACGGTCCTCATTCCCGACCCTGAAAGAGTCCCCAATATGCTACCAGGCTACACTAGCACATGACAGGGATGGAGACATTACTGGTGCCCACTTGAGCAAATCGATGAACAACAGGGTGATAGTGATAGTGATAGTTGCAGGTAGATAGCTGTGGGAGGAGGAGGGGCGCTGATAATGAGTTTTTGGAAATAATTAAACTAAGAAATTGCATAGCCCTGAAGCAGGCAAAGGGCACGAGGAACATATCCCTGTAAGATGCAATTTGGAGATGGAGAAACTGAGGCACTACCCAGAGAAGAGTGGGCCTCCTCAGAGAAGAAACCACAGGAGAATCTAAAGGTCTTAAGAATATGAAAAGAGGGGCTGGAGCAATAATACAGCGGGTAGGACATTTGCCTTGCAAGCTGCCGACTCCAGTTTGACATCCCCTATGGTTCTCACAGCACAGCTAGGAGAAATCCCTGAGCATTGCCAGGTGTGGCCCAAAAGGAAAAACCAAAAGAAATATTAACCCAAGCCTTCTCTCTTTCTCTCTGTGTTCCTCTTTCTCCCTCCCTCATCCCTCTACCCACTGCCCCCCAAATAATACCACCAATCAACTACTGGCAGATCTGTTTCCGAGAGTTTACCTGGACAGACATTACCAGTCTAGAGATGCTGCTGATTTTGTTGGGATTTCTGTACTGCCAGACAGACTAGAATCATTCCAGTCGATGCTCCATCAGTTTAACAATTATTCCCTAATAGCTGGGCAGCTTTCCAATTAGGTAAAACAGTGTTTGTGAAGCCTTCAAGATAATCTTCTGTAAAGGTTTCACTGAAAGGAGGCCGGAGCAATTGTACAGCAGGTAGGCACTTGCAGGCAGCAGACCAGAGTTAGATCCCCAGGCATCCCATATCAATCCCATCACCACCACCAACCCCCAGCACTGCCAAGTGTAAACCCTGCGCATAGCTGAGTGTAGCTACAAAACAAAACAAAACAAAAAAAGATTTCACTAAAGAATGAAAATGTTACATGTGGAATTTCACTCCAGGACTCCTCTGCCTTTAGGTTCTTAAGCTTTAAGAGGGCTATGCAGGTGAATCTTCAAGTCAGTGTGTACAAAACTGGCAACATCATGAGAACACTTGAGCTATGCACATAAACAAGCGTGGAAATGTTTATTATGTCTATCCGTCTAAATATTTGTAGATAGGGTAGATGTGCTTGCCAAGCCAGTAAAACTGGTGTCCATACCTAAGTAGAATGTTAGGGCTCGGATTGTGGCTCAGTGACAAAGCATATGCATTGCAAGCAGAAGACCTGGGCTCAATCCCACACAGAACAATAATTAATAATAATAATATTAATAATCATCATCATCATCATCATCATCTATACAAAAGAATGTTCCCGGGGCTGGGGTGATAGCAAAACGGGTAGGGCATTTGCCTTGCACACAGTCAACCCGGGTTCGATTCCCAGCATCCCATATGGTCCCCCCCCGAGCACCACCAGGAGTAATTCCTGAGTACAGAGCTAGGCAGCAGAAGCCTTGTGAAGCAGAAGCTGTGCATCATTGGATATGACCCAAAAAGAAAAAAAAAAATGTTCCCTCTAAAAGGACTCTTAGAAAACATCTCTAATGCAACTTTTTCACAGGGTTTTACAGAATCTGTAATTTTATGTAAAGAATCTGAACCCAGATCTCCAGCTACCCACAGAACTTCACACACTGCACTTGGTCCCCTCTCTCCATCAGAAAAAATGCTCACTCCTGGAGTCATTCCCCTTAGAACCGGGTTGTATCACAACAGACACTCAACTGCTTTCAAGACAGATGACCCTTTATTTACATTTCACTTCAGAGTAAAACAGATGCCCCCAAATGACTCTGCGTGAGGGTATCATTCCTTTTCCAAAGAAAAACTATGCTTCCCATGGAACAATTTGTCCCTGGACTTTGGAGGAAATGACAGGCTCTTCGTTTCCTAGATGTGTGATCTCGGCCAAGATACTCAACGTTCTAGAAGCGTTACATTTAATAAAACGCATCAACAGCAAAACTCCCAGAGTTGATGGGAGAACTACATTTCACGCAGTCACTGGCCTTGAGCAAACGCTCCCCTAACAGCGGACGCTGATCGTGTTAGAAACACACAAGAGTTAATCATGTTATCTGCCTGGCAGACCCCAGAGCAGACCTCAACCTCTCTTTGCCTCCCGGCTCTGGGTCCTGCCAGCAACACAGTGGACCAGTGGTCGGGACCTGAAGCTCATCGGAAGCGTGGAAGAGGCAGCGATATACCTGAACAGTCAAGTGCAGCCAGGAACTGCAAGTCAGGCGTCGCCCTGAGCTCAAGGTCAACTTGGTGAGTCAAAATTCCAAGGGAGCTTTTCGTCCGTCACTGGGAGCGGCAGAAAGGGGTTTTCCAAAAGGCTGGGGCGCTCCCGGGGCCGCTTCTGGCCGCGTCAAGCGGCGCCCCCTGGCCCCGGGGAGCCGTGGGCCGGGCTGAGAACTCAAGGCCGGTTGCGGCCTTCAGCAGATTCTGATTAAAGTCTTGGGTGGGGTCTGCGGACGTGAGTCAGGGAAACTATTTCCGCAGGGGGGGGTGGGTCACTAGCCCTCAAGAAGGGACCCCCGCGCAGCGTCGACCACGTCGCCCGCCGCAGACCTCGCTCAGGCAGCCCCCAGGTAAATTCCCCGACCGGCTCCCGAGAACTTCCGGTGTCCCGAAGTGACGTGAAACCTCGCTGGGAGTCCCGCTAGCTCATTGGTCGCTGCTGCCCAATAAGAGACGAGAGGCGCTACACCACCAACCAATGAGCTTCGTTTCCCCATGTCTCCGCCCCCCGTGCACTGTATCTCCATGGTGACCGCGCCCGGTCACCCATTTGGCTTCCTCTCCCGGAGTTGCGTCATTATCGGCGCGCCGGAAGCAACAGCTCCCGGCGCTCTCCTGCCCCGCGACGCGCACCTGGTTCAGTCCGTCGTCGGCTCCTGCTGGCCGGTGGTGCCGCGGGGGTGACCTCGCCGCTGCTGGTCACCTGCCACGATGGCGGTGTTTCACGACGAGGTGGAGATCGAGGACTTCCAATACGACGAGGAGACGGAGTCGTATTTCTACCCCTGCCCGTGCGGAGATAACTTCTGCATCACCAAGGTAACCCCCTGGGCCGCCGGGCCACCTGTCGGAGCGCCATCGGCCCTTTCGCCGCCTGGTGTTTTCGTCCTCCCTTTGGCTACCCAGGCCCTTTGCGGGTGTCAGGGTGCACCCAGAGTCCGATATGCGGAACTTGTCGCTGGGCACGTGGCTCCCTGTCTTTATAAACAAGCCGGGGCGGGACAAGAGATGAAGCGGCTGCGTTGTGCGACCCCCCTTGCTCTCCTGCCCCACTTAGGGGGACCTTCTTGAGGGTACTTCGGATTTGGGGGGCAGGGGAGACAGTTAAAGGGAAGACGTACTGACTCCCCTTTGCTTTTGTTTTTGTGATCCAGGAAGACTTGGAAAACGGGGAAGACGTGGCGACGTGTCCCAGCTGCTCTCTCATTATAAAAGTGATTTATGACAAAGTAAGGGCGTTGAATTTTCTCCAATCGGGGTTTGGTGGGGGAGAAGGTGGCAGAATGGGCGAGCCTTGATCAGCCTGCCTGGAGAGGACGATGAAGAAAAACTCCTGTAATAGATGAAAACTGTTGATTGCTTAAGTAGAAGAAAAATGACCAGGGAGGTTTGTTAGGTCCTCATTTCTCCTTTAGTAAGTTATTAAACTTTTCAGAGCCCCTTGATTTACTTTGAAGGGAAACTGGTGTGTTGAATTTCTCGCCTGACTTCCCTAGAGACAGTTGCTACCTTCTTACCCAGTGTAAGTCATAGTTCTTGTTTTACCTTTCATCTATGGCTTTTTATTCTGTTGTTTTCCACCCATGGATATTGTCTTGACAGTAGAAAGCAAGGAAAATTCTCTCGTGTCCACCTGCTCCTCAACTTTTGATCACAGTCCTTTGAATGGAGTCTTAAGTAACATTTCGTGTGTGTGTGTGTGTGTGTGTGTGTGTGTGTTGTTTTGGAACAGCATCTGATAATGCTCAGGGGTTACCCCTGGCTCTGCACTCAGGAATCACTCCTGGCGGTGCTCAGGGGACCATATGGGATGCTGGGGATCAAACTCGGAACCTCCATGTGCAAAGCAAATGCCTTAGCCACTATACTATCACTCCTGCCCCTTAAGTAACATTTCTTAAAGATGAACTGGGGGAAGGTGGGAATGGGACACTTAACCTCAAAAAGGAGGAGGCCAAATTTTTATCATTTAGATCTTTGATAGTTTAATTGTTTACTGTTATTATTTTTTGCTTTTTGGGTCACACCTGGCAATGCACAGGGGTTACTCCTGGCTCTGCACTCAGGAATTACTCCTGACGGTGCTCAGGGGACCATATAGGATGCTGGGAATCGAACCTCAGTCAGCTGCATGCAAGGCAAACGCCCTATCACTGTCCTATCACTCAAACCCCAGTTTAATCGTTTATTAAAATGTGTTCTGGAGGGCCAGCCACTAGTTCGGTGGTAGAGCACTGGCTTTGCATGTGTGAGGGTGTGGATTAGCTCCTTCTACTATTAAAAACCATCAATCCAAAATAATGATAGGTCTGGAGCAATAGGACAGAGGGGAGGGCATTTGTCTTCCACACAACCAACCCAGGTTTGATCCCCAGCACCTCATATGGTCCCCTGAGCACCAATAGAATTAATTCCTGAGTACAGAACCAGGAGGAACCTCTGAGTATTGCAGCTGTGACCCAAAATGAAAAAATATATATATAATGATAGGGATGGTGATATTCTTCACATGAGATCAACACTAGAGAGATGAGGTGTGCTAGTCTGAAATTGCAGTTTAAGTAGAAGGATAATAGCAGGCCTTAGTGAGAAGATTCTGTTGAACAGAGATTGAAAGTGGTGATGCTTGCGCCACGTGTATAGGGAGGGAGGAGAGTACACAGGGGACTGTCAGTGAAGAGGCCTGAAACAGGAACTTCCCTGGTTTTGTCAAGGGTTTTGCCACTGTGACCTGAGCAGAGTCAATGAGGATGAGCATAGTAGTCCAAGATAGAAATTGTGGAGGGGGGCATCACAGTGGGCTGTGGTGCTGCAGTAAGGATCTTGGGGTTTTTTTTTTTCTGTGAAAAACTTAGGAAACTGAACAAAAGAGCATCCATGATGTGGTTTGTTTTAAAATTCTTTGGGGACTGGAGTAACAGCCCAGCAGCTAGGGCACTTTCCACTTGGGTTCCATCCCTGGCATTCTTTGTGGTTGGTTCCCCAGTCCCCATCAGGAGTGAACGCTGAGCGCAGAGCCAGGAGTAAGATCTCACTGGGTGTGACCCCAAACCAGAAATTACTAAAAAATGAAAATTATTCTGCCTGCAAGAACTGTGACCAGAAGACCAATTTAGAGCCTAAAACTAAACTGGATGCTTTGGATGAGCCATGCAGGCAGGCAGAAGTAGTGAGCTCTAAGGATTGTCTTACTAGTAGGATATGTGAGTGGGTCAGGATGATTTCATTATTGATATTTAGCTTTCAGTACTAGAAGGCTAAGTTTCTATCAGCTTGGGGATGGTGACTGCAGTGGTCAGGGTGGGACTTGGACGTACTAAGCTTAAGAAATCCGTTTTCGTAGACTTTGACGATACAAAGTTCACTTGTGACAGTGCTAAGAGCCAGTGTAATAACAGACACATCCCATCTGTTTAGAGCAGCTTGTTGAAAGGAGTGAAAGAAGATGGCAAGTGTGGGCATGTCTTTCGAGGAACGGGCTGCAAAGGGAGATAGACACGGGCAGCCCCCAGTGGATCTAGAGGGTGTGAGTGGCAGGCATTCAGCTGCCCCGTGCAAGTACACGCTGGAAATTAGATTCCACCTGTGGAATGAGGAAACAAACAAAAAAATGGTTCTGATCATAGAACCTTTGACCATTGAGTATAAATAGGGCATGAGGGTCAGTGAATACTGTAGGATGAGTATAGTGGAGGCCTCTGAGAGTTTGGATTGAGGTATCCGTTCAAGTAGTGGCAGAAAAAGGAGTCATTTCAGGAGAAAATGCTCAGCTCACCCTGGAATTCTACTTTGCTGAAGCAAAAACCCCACCCATCCCCCCAAGTCATTGAGCACCTCCCTGGGGGTGGTTTCACTCATTTTGTGAATGCTTTACTCCTGTGGTCTGATAAAAGCAAGATTCAGATAGATGTGTTTTGGGTTTTTTGTTTGGTTTGGTTTGGTTTTTTTTTTTTTCTTTTTTTTTGGTTTTTGGGCCACACCTGCTTATATTCAGGGGTTAGTCCTGGCTCTGTACTGGGGAATTACTCCTGGCAGTGCTCGAAGTACATATGGGATGCTGGGGATCGAACTCAGGTCAACCTCATGCAAAGCAGATGCTGTATTACCCCCTGTACTATCGCTCCAGCCCCAGATAGACGGTTTTTAAGAGGGAGAGAAAACCTAGTGGCTTAAAGGAGCAATCAGCCCACATCTAGTCTCTGTGGCACTAGGGCTCAGACACCTTCCAGGACAAAGCAGTCACAATAACCACGGAGGCGGCCTCATCACAGCCTCTGCCTTCTTGACATTAGGGGCTGAATGACTCTGTTGAACCTCCCCCTGTGCATTGTAGGAGGTTCAGAGCATCCAAGGCTTCTGTCAAATGCTCACAGCCGCTGCCTCCCTCCCCCCACTGTGACATAGGCTTAGAGCAAAAATAAAGTAGAATTTTTTTCCCATATGAGAACCTCTCTTCAGTAAGAAGGCACAGGAATCCGTCAAAGAGGCTGGAATATGGAGCTCATGATGCACCCGATATTCTAGAGAGCACAATCGGAGGGTTCTAGGTGCTGGGCAGGAGTGAGGGGAGGACGGGGATGAGGGCTGAGCCTTGTGAGGACCAGATTGCAGATGCAGGGGAACCTGGGAGGCAGATTTCTTATGACAGCAAACATAAGGCAGAATAATCACATTGGCCTTCATTTATGAAGTCACTGAGGTTGTGGATTATCTATGCTGGGGAACACAGTCCTATCCCATTTATTTGGAAGAGGTGAGTATTTGAAGAGAATGGGTTTTTTTTTTCTTTTTGGGTCATACTTGGCAATTCTCAGGGTGTCCTCTAGCAGTGCTCAGGGGACCATATGGGATGCCAGGGATCAAACCCAGGTCGGCCGGTTGCAAGGCAAACACCATACCTGCTAATCTATCACTCTGGCCCCAGGTTTGTAGATTTAATATCTGAGAAGTGGCTGCTCTGTTTTGCAGGTTGAGCTTTTGTCTGAAGATAAAGTGCTTTATACTGAATACCAGTTTGGTTCTAAACACAATAGTGCATTTTTAAATTCCACTGCTGGCATTGTTTTTTGAAAATAGGTTATATGACACAGCCTTGAAAAAATGACAGAGCTAATTTATTTTGAAACAAGAGGAAGGTTTAATTAAGGGATGCATTTGTGACACAAACGGTGATTATCGTAATTGCTTGTTCTGCCCTAGGACCAGTTCATGTGTGGAGAAACAGTTTCAGCCCCTTCCACCAATAAAGAGTTGGTTAAATGCTGACGAAGTCTGTAGGAATCCAAATCATGAACAGTTGAGAAAGGAGCCACGCTGGAAAATCGAATGCAGAATTGCCAACCCCCTCTTGGGGACAACTACTCTGTGGTTTGCTATTCACTCGTAGTTGTGGACACTCCCTCAGCTGCTGTGTTCATCGATTCAGATAGCCGGGCCACAATACAATGTGTTTCGAGTTCCTCCTAGAACTTTGAATCCTAAGTGTTCGTTGTTTCCTATCAGAACTTAAAGAACAGCAATTGCAGATCAGTGCTTGCTTTCCCTCAGTTTTGCCATTTTATATGTCACACCTAATTAACTTCATTGTTTGACTATATCATTATCTACCTCAGAGTCATTAGGATTCTTAATTAGAAAGGGATTTTATTTTTGACTCCGGTACTAAGATTGTCCAATTGGAACGTTTCTTTGGTATTTGAACTCTGCTGTTCTCAGCGTAAGAGATGAAAACTGCACATTCAGTACTCTGCCCGGCCAGTCTCCTCAGTCTGTCATTAGAATGTTTTTCATCTGTTTAGCATGCTGTTTCCTGTATACATCATGCATTACCAGTGGACCTGGTACTAACGAAACATATGCTGGACTCTCAGTTTCTTCAAGTGAACAGTTAGAACAAAAGAAAGAAAAGATAGGGCCAGCGAAATGATACAGGGATTAAGGCCTTGCAGAGTCAGGGCTATAGAGTTTCCTTACTTTTTTTCTGCATATTCCTTGAAAATCAGGAGCATAGCAACGAGAAAAATCGTCAGAGAAAGTAAAATTTTTACCAGGAGACCAAAACAGACCTACTTGAAGAAGGAAACGCTCAAATCATTTAGATTCTTGTTTCTTTTTAGACAAAGAAATTGCTTGTTAGATTTGGTTAGTGTCAGATCTTCACAGTTAGTGAAAGTGCTTTCAGCCACAATTCTTGTATATGCTGATGATGACACTGAAAATGAGAAGCCTATTCTAAATATGCCCAGAAGGTATATCTGATAGCCCCTTGTAGCATGCAACTTAACCAAACCTTCACTCTTACAGATACTGTCTCGGAGAAAAGAAAACTAGAATATCAGTCTCCTTTTGCTGCAGTGCTCAGTAGCAAGAAATTAGAATCACATGGAAATACTTGCAAATTCACATTACATACACAACTTTTCTCTGTGTATAAGATTTTAAAAGCATGGGTTTTGGGGAATGGCACCTGTAGTTAGAACAAGAGCTTATGGCCCTCCTGCTTGTGCATGTCCCCGGGGCTTCCTGAAAACCAGTGAGGGCCCCTTTTCATGCGCCAGAAGTCTGGCTTTATGCAGCCGTGGGCTGACATAGTCATTGGCCATTTCATGCAACTTTTCTTCCCTAAATACCAGTTGGCCAGCTATGCTGGGAGGGCTTGGCATAGTCTGAAGTGGTATATGGCAGCCGCTAGATGGGGTGAGAAATCATGGAGCTATTTGAGACCCAAAGAAATTATTGGGAACTGGAGGCTGCCCAGCAGAGCAGGGCGCAGCTGAGTGTGGGAGTGTGTTGTGAAGGCTTGACACCCCTTACTGAGATGAGAACCCTGTGTGTGTCCGTGCTACGTGCGCTCCTGCTGCCAGCACATTTTAGACAAGATTTCCCCCAATGCAGTAGGTCTCCTGTGGGTACAGAGGAGCAGGAAGAAGGCCCATACCCAGAAGAGAAGCTCAAAGAGCACTGGCGTGCAGTGATGAGTAACGGGGCTGCGCTCGTGGGAATGATTGTGTTCCAAATCAACTGAACTGCTGAATTTCTCCTGAACCACAGAACACATCAGGATTAAATCCTCGGTTAAGCAGGTAATATCATGGACTTTCCCATCAGGCCAGAGTCAGTGTGATAAGCGTGCCTTAGGTAGCTCAGCACCTCTAGGAACTGACTTTCAGTCCAGTTTCTGTGTTACCAGTTGTTATTCCCTGGGTAAGCCAGCAGAATGCCTCATCTGTATACTCAGTACACCTTCAGTTGTTGTCTTTCCAGGTTATAGAAGCTGAGATGGTCTTTTTGAACTTGAAACTAGATCCTGAATTACAGAGAAGGAAATGCCATCCGTCTTCAATATTATAGGGATTCGGGATGTGGCTCAGCACAGAGTTCTTGCCTTGCATTTGCAGGGCCTCTAGTTCCATCCCTGGCCCAGGGCAGGTGTGGTGAAAAATACATACATGTTTATGTAGATGCACGCATATGTACAGCTAAGTTTAAAGATGCTGCATATACTTTTATACACTCGGGCACTTTTCTTGGAAAAATGCCCAGACTTTTTATGTACATTTAATTTATTAAATTACATGCTAAATAAAGTAATATAATTCAAATCCATTTATTTTCATGTAACTTTTCTTCCCTGAATACCAACTTGTTTTGTATTAAAAGATCTTGTTGTAATATGGTATGTGTTGGAAATCTTTGACTTGCTTTGGGGTTTTGTACATTTCTGTCATAGACAATAAGAATTTAAAGGAAAATAACTACCTCTCAAGTACAGCTTGACCCTAATAGCTCAGAAAAGCAAATTGAGTTTGTCAGTGGGGAAACTTCCTAGCCAGTGGGTACTTAAGAGAAAAATTATGACACGCTTCTTAGTAGGATACCAAATAATTTGTCAGATGCCTATTAGCATTTGGGGAGACAATATGAGTGCACTTGTCTTGCATGCAGCTGACCCTGGTTCGATCCCTGGCACCACATATGGTCCACTAAGCACTTTGAGGAGTGACTCCTGAGCACAGAGCAGGACAGCCTCTGAGCACCGCAAGGTGTGACCAAAACATTCATGAACATTTTATTTTTTGGTTTTCGGATTTTACCACTAAAATTGGGCAAGAAACTGTCTCCCATCTCTGATATGGGTGCAAGGTAGAGAGAGCAGGAACTGTGGAGGGGCCATGAAGACTGGGACCAGGATGGTTTCCCCAGTGGCTTTTATGTGGCTGTCATCTTTGTGAGGTCAGCCTGGCATTTGGTGGTCAGTGTGTAGGTCAGCTAATGAGTTCATGCGTTTATGGAGAAGCCGAGTTTGGCTGATCCAGGCACTGTTTGATGGTGGCCTTGAACTGCATGCTGGGTGCAGCCTGGTTTCGTGTTTTCCTTCTCAGACCCTTGTTCTAGTACAGAGGTATGAACCTGGTAACTTCCCACTGACCAAAGCAAGTCATGTAGCTGAGCCTAAAGTCAGGCACCAGGGAAGTACAGTCTCCAAAGATGATGGGGAGGGAACGAGTGAATGGTCTTGATAAATAACCTAAGTGTCTGGCTTGCCATATGCATCTCACAGCTTTTCTAAACCCCATTGTCTTTCTGTGTCTGTGTTCGAACAATTGAAAAACTTTGGAAGTAGAAACAAAACCCAAATTAGCCGCTGCACCTTGCTGGGAAGACTTTCTCAGACAAAGCCAGGGATTTGGGGAGGTTGGGGGCAAGGAGAGCTACATTTGTGTTTTGAGATGAGCAAGACGTTGGCAGTATATCCGTATTCAAATTAACAGCAACCTAGCTAGGAACAATAGGTTAATATTTCCAAAATCTGCCAAAAATACTCGAAGAAATTTATTCGCTCTAATTAGAGCTGAGGCCATATGCTCCTATGCAATCATTAAACTTGAGATTAATCCCAGGGAAGTGTAGCCCACCTACCTTACGGAATGCATCTTTTGCCTGGTCACTGGCTGAGCGGGGATGATTCACTGTTTTCATTACAACAAAGTTTCTGCTCCGACTCAGTGGTACCTAATTACTTGTCACCCACAGTTTCAAATCTAGCGAGCAGCTCTCCCTTCAAAACCAATGTCACCTGCGGGGCCTTTGGGCCTGGGCCAGATTTCTCTGGATGTAACGTGCAAAAATGTGACCTACTCCTGACTTGTCCATCTGGCTTGGCTAAGCATTTACCATGCCATGTGCTGCCTAAGAGGGGAAAGATAGTGAAGTTAGACATGATGGAGGACTTCTAGCTTAGACAGGTACCAAGGACAAGAGAGATAGAATAGGGTTAAGGTACTCACTTTGCATGCAGTGGATTTAGGTTCAATCTCCAGTACCACATTAGGTCCCCCAAGCACCTCCAAAAGAGTGAGCCCTGAGCACAGAAGTAAGCCCTGAGCAGCGTCTAGTGTGGCCCCAAACCCAAACATAAAAAAGATGGCAAGATTCTCAGTAGTAACTCACTCCCTAAATGGATAGTAGTATTCATTTATAAGTAGTATCATTTCATCAATAGGCTCCAAGCTCTTTTGGTTTTGAGAGCTGAGACTAATCTCTGCATAAGGAGGAATTTACAAACAAACAACAACCAAAACCAGTGTTCTAGGGAATTTTTTAAGAACAGAACAGAATTGCGTTCCACCATTGAGTGACCTAAATATTTCTAATCATTGGTAGTTCCGTGGCAGGAAAACTTTGTTCATTGCCAAACATGCCCCTGGCCAGTGTTAAGGAGCTGCTGCCTGCCCGGTGACAGAGCCTGACCTTGACTTGATGGTTCCCGATGGTCTCGCTCGCCTGTGTGCTTCTGTCCATCTGTGGGCTTTGTGGGTCAGTGCCCTGGCAAAGGGCCCCAGATGGCAGAGGGCACCTCAGTTGGGAAAGAGTGGGGGAAGGGTTCCTAACGCATAGAAACTGACACTCCTGTAAACCAGTACTGCACCGATCTTCTTAAAAGTCTCTCCCACATGTTTCTGGAGTGTAGACATCAATATTCTTACCCAAACCTCTTACAAGTCTTTCGCTGGTGAAGCATGAGAAGTCATCTCGAGAGTACTGGCTGTGGGGCCTCCTCGCTCTGCCAAGATGCCCTGGATATATGATTCAGCCAGATCCATTTCTGCACTCATGTATAAAAAGAGAGTGGGGGAAGTGACTCGCTTTATGGTTTTAAATAAAGTGAGGAAAACACACACACACACACACACACACACACACAGAGAAAGAAGGGAGTGGGTGGAAGAAATGGTCTCTGCCAATGGGAGAGAGACTGATTCTTACAGGACACTGTTCTGGCTTCCTGAGGAGCATCTTTAAGCTCAGGATTGGGTTTCTAGTGGATGGTGAAGATGGAGGAGGAGGTGGAGGAGGGTAGAGGAACATTCTGGAAGGTTTGTGAACTAAGCATCCAGGGCCTGTGGGGGGAGCCCAAGACTCACTGAAACAGAGTTCGCAGCCCAAACGCGTGCCAGCTGGCAGGACACAGGCAGCCGCCCCCTCCCTGGGTCCATGTGTCCTTTCCCCAAGGCACAGCCTGCTTAATGCGGACACCTGTGCAGTGGGCATCTGTGGAATCTTAGCTTCAAGGTCAAGGGTAAATGTGACACCACACCAAAAAGGACACCTCAAGAGGCATCTCCCAGGACTTCTGTGTACTCTGGAGCTGCACAGCCCCAAAAGGGTCTTACACTCCCTGTTGCAAACCCTCAAGCTGTGCCTGGGACTTGTGGCTGCCATGAGACTATCACCAGGGGGCCCTGGCCCAAGTGAGAGCATTCCCATCATCCCAGAAAGTTCTGTGTCCTGGCACATGGCAAGAGCTCAGGATGTGCCATTACTCATTTAGTGCATGGTTATAAAAATACTGGTCTGCAGGTATTAATGGGCCTACTCTACACGCCAATGTTCTCTCGGGTTCTGCCCTGCCCACCTCCCCCACACCCTGGCAGGGAGCCTTTTCCCTATTTTCTCTTGGGGCCCAGTGGGGTTCCACTGCTTCCAGCACCTCTATCCCGACAAGGGCGAAACCAGTTCCCAGTCTGGTGTGAAAGTGCTGGTGTAGATATTTCTGTGGCTGTGCTGTGGGTTGTCAGAGACACAGGAGTGTGTGGCAACAGCTTGGAGACGTTGGAATTCCTCCCCCACGTGATGTATGAGAAGCACTGACATGGCCAGTTCTAATGCCAGGAGAGGGTTTCCGTTCCTACTGCCCCATGGTGAGCTCCTATTCACCGTCATCTTTCACCAGGAGATGCACTAGGTGAACCCACCCAAGGTTAGAACAGGATTCAGCCCTGGGCCCGAGGGTCCCCACTCCAGTGGCCCAGCTTGCGCCCACTGTCTCTAGGTACCTGTGTTCTATGTTGGATGTCCTTGGGACAGGCATGTGAATGTGGGTTCATGAGAATGAAGAACTACGGAGAGAAACTGAAGGACGGAAGGAGACAGGAAGCATTAGAGGAGTATCAGGAATTAGGAAGGACAAGAGAGAATGAGACAAAGAAGGGAACAGAGGGAGGGAAAGAACATCGAAGCCTTTGTGGACAGAATTAGAACATGTGTCAAAGAGCTCATGGGAGAGCATCAGGGATAGAATTAGTGTGAGAAAGAAAGAAAGAGAGCTTGAGAGACAGAGAAGGAGCAGGTGCATGGGCCCGATTGAAAATGTTTATTTGGGGGCTAGAGCAATAGCACAGTGGATAGGGCATCTGCCTTGCAACCTGGATTCGATTCTCAGCATTCCATATGGTCCCCTGAGCATCGCCAGGAGTAATTCCTGAGTGCAAAGCCAGGAGTAACCCCTGAGCATAGCTGGGTGTGACCCGAAAAGTAAAAAAAAAAAAAAAAAAAAAAAAAAAGTTTATTTGTCTTCTGTCTGAGGTGCCCCGGATCCTTTTAAGGGCAGCCTGCTGAGCCACTCACAGGAACGGAATGTTGGAGGGAGTGCGCACCCCCCACACTCACACACACATGCACACACACACACACACACACACAGACACACACACATCAAGCCCCAGCCTCTCCTAAGCAGGGGAACACCTAGTCTCAGAGGTAAAATGCTGAAAAACAACGCCAGGTGAATGGTCTGAGGAGGAACACTGCACAAAGTAAGAGAACAAGATGATACAAGGTAAGAAGCTTGCCTTGCATGCCACCACCCTGGGTTCGATCCCCGGCACCCCATACGGTCCTCTGAGCCCTGCCAGGAGAGATTTCTGAGTGCAGAGCCAGGAGGAACCTCTGAACATGGCCCCCCAAAAAAAAGAAAGAAAAGAAAACTAGATAGACACGAGACAAAAGCATGGGGTCAGGGGGCGCACAGACTCTGAAATTGAGAGCCCTCCAACCATTCTCCATCACATGCCTTACTTATGTCTTAAGCCAATAATCAACAAAAACCAAAAAAAGGACAAACGTTCACAAACATTTGTCTACGCTAAACTAACCAGAACAAGCTTTTACATATCAAACTGGACAGATAGCTGTTGGTGCGTAAGTCTCTAAAGTGAATTTTCACTGGGAGAGGTAGCTGAGACAAGGGTGGCTACAGCCAGGATCCCCACTAAAGAGGCTCTCCTATGCTCCCC